ATGGTGGTATCAATACTAGCTTCCCTGATAGTAGTGATAGGGATTTTAACTGCATTGGGATACTGTATAATCCCCTGTGTTAGGGGCTTAGTCCAGAGGCTGAATGAAAGAGCTATATCCAAACAAATGCCTCTGAAACCACCACCTTGCAGAGAGAGTGTGTTCCCCTTAGAGGATTTAGCAGAGAACCCCAGAGAAAGGGAATGTGAAAATACGCTTTCCCAACTGGAAGGGGGGTTGGTAGCTCATCACACACTCAAGAGATGTTAGGAGCCAAAGGCAACAGGAAGCTACAATAATGTTACAAGAGCTTGACAGAAATTAATAAGTGTCAATAATAAGAGAATAAAAAGAAAAAAGGTGGATTGTGAGAGATGGATAAAATATCTGTCGTTATTGACACAGAAATACTAACTTGAGCATGCTAAGAGTGCAGCTGTGTGAGAGATAAGGAAGTAGTGTTAAGTGTTATGGTTATCAAATAGTGGCAGATGGAGAGGAAGCTTTCTCCTTATGTGGGACAATGTAAATACAAATGAATTTGGAGTGATCTTTATCAGTATAATGCAATTAGCTGAAACCTTGAGCAGTTACCATAGATGATGTGGGAGGGACCAGGAAGAAATCCTAGAGTGGCTGGAAAGACTGTACACCCAGAATACCTTAGCCAATGGGGAAAAGGGGAAGGACTTGCAATCGGTAATGTATATAATTAAGCCGGAGTTTGTAAGTGGGTGTGGCTTCTTATTTGCGACAAAGTCCACCAGCCTTTGCAAACGCTTCCAATAAAACTTTACTTCTGACTAACCCAGAGAGAGATTTCTGGTGCTTGTTTCACACAGGGGGCATCTTCCTGTGCAAAGACAGAGGGTTCTGGCACTGCAGAAGAAAGACGCATGGCAAGTATTCATCCAGCTTCAATCTTCTGAGTCCTGGGAGTGGAAGAGCCCAGATCCCATGTTTCCCTGTAGCATCTGCAGGTATCAGGAAAGGGGGAAACCAGAGCTGCAGAACAGCCCTGTTGCCCCCAGGCATAAATCTGAGATCCCCAGGAAGGAGGAGGGGATGTGCCAAAACCCTTCCTGCCCCGTTTCTGGGGAAAAGCCCCTGCGGGGGAGGGAGAATTTGCATTGCAAACTCTAGCAGGACATAAGAGAAGGTCTCCAAGGAAGGAGATGCAAAAGATTGTGCCTGCATTCTCGCCATGTGCTGGATGAGACTAAAACAGGGATGGACCTCTGCAGTTGAACAGGAGGGTGAGTGAACCAGGACAGTATGCTACGTTCTCTCAAGCCCTGTTTTCAGTGAACTTGCATGACGTGTTTGGGATTAGGGCATCTTGTGAACCCGCCTGCCTAGTAATAGTGTGACTTGGCTCTTAAGAAACAAGCCCTGAAGAAAGGGAAGTGGAACATCCTAAGCCAGGGTAATTCCATTAGCATTTCATTTTATGGGAACTGAACTTTCTTGGTTTGTTGGCCTGTTTGGGGTTTGGCATATTGTGTGAACCCTGCTTG